ACATGGATGACCTCTGCGTTTTGAGGTGGTAATGCAGGGAGGACCTCTGCTTTTTGCTTCTGGGAGTTTGGAACGCGGCCACGAGCTATGCGTTTTGAATCTGGGACGCAGATGTGAGCTCTGCGTTTGGATTTGAAGAGACTGTCAATTTGTAGTCTCTTTTGCTAAAGCGTTGCAAAGACCGTCACCTTATAATCTTCGTCTTCGCTCCTAAAAAATATGAGAGTCGTTAGATTATAGTTCCCGATGTTGATTGTGAAGGCTGTTGATTAAAAATTTCATCAGTTGTTGTGAAAGTCGTCAGATTGTAACCTTCATCGATCTATGTGAAAGTCTTCAAATTGTAGCCTTCTGAAAGCCGTCGAATTGTAACTTCCATCATCGGTGTTTGATGAAGATTAGCTATCTGTTGTGATTTTTAGACAGCCTACAATGAACGATAGAGTTTGGAATAATTCTTGGTGAAACAAACCAGAGGTTTAAGCGCAGATCAGATAATAATTAAATTGGCTGCTGCCAGTACAATAACTTCCGCAACATTATTTAGGAAGAGGATTGATCTGCTCATATCACATCGTGTCTCTCTCTCTCTCTATATAGAGGAGTAGAGGACGGAAGAATCTCTCATGATCAAGGACTTGTTTGTCTTGGCTTTGCAGGGATTCTCTTTCTCCAATACAAACATCTATCATTATTCACTCCATCATAACTCTCTCTCTCTCTCTCTCTCTCTCTCTCTCTCTCTCTCTCTCTCTCTCTCTCTCTCTCTCTCTCTCTCTCTCTCTCTCTCTCTCTCTCTCTCTCTCCACCCTTTGCCCTTTTCTACACCCTTTTTCATCAGTTGATCCACTTTCTTCCTCAAATGATTGCTATATGGTGTTCTATATCATAGTAAATGGTTGCAGAAAACAGACTGAGATGTTCACATGAACAACAATGATGATTCATTAACTAAGTCTACATTTAATTAGATGGTAATTAAATACGATAAGAAGAAAAATTCCCCAAGGACAAAATATGGGACCAACAGGAGGGATAGGTGAGGTGCCCCCCTCTTATTGCATAATGAGCTGGTCATCATTAATAATGGTCAGCTCATTATGCAACAGGAGGGAGACATCTCACATGTCCCCCTGTTGGTCCCATATTTTGGGTCCCTGTAACAAAGCTCCGATGAGAAACTCAATTATCTGTCAAAAAACTTGAAATTCGTGTTGAGTTTACTGTGTAACATAACTTGTTTAACTTTGTTCACTGACTAAATATTCTTAGAGTGTAACAGCATAAGATCTTTCTATGCAGCGCGCCAGTATTCATTTCGTTATTAACAAAGACTAGCTCACTTAGCAAAATCTGCACCACAAGTATTAACAACAAATAAATTCCCTATTTTTTTAAATTCAACAAAAAAGTATATGCTAGCAATTTCTTGAATCACTCCTTCGTATTTTTCCGTAGAGCGAAAGAATACAGTGATTATATATCCCTTCTAGCATTGGGTCCCCCACTATAAAAGAACCAAGTGCATCTAAAGAAGAAAAGTACTACTGATGTTGGCGATTGATGAAAATGGTGATGTCAACACAACCGCTCAAAGATGCAAGAGTTAATTGAGATTAACCCCACTGGAGTATCACTCCACTACAAATAAACCCCGTGTAGTTCTAGTAGTTCGAATAGACCCCTGAGTGAATTTGTTTTTAACTCTTAAGACTAGTAAAGATTTTGAGGAGTCGAATAAACAGGGGCTCATACTACAATGAGTCCATTCTCACAAATAGAAGTAGATTGGGTCTATTCTCAAATGGGTGATACTAAAGGGGGTCTATTAGCAAGTAACGCTAAATGCAACTAGTTCAACCGGTCAAACATCCCCATCTCAGCTATAAGTTTGTTTTACATTAGTGAGCTACGTGGAAATTCTCAATCCCAAATTTGCAACTATCCCTGTCAACTAACTAAGAAATGCATGACCTTTAAGAAATGCATGAAAAGGAGTCTGAAAAGGCAAGAATTCTCTCTCCAATAGATTGTGATCCCTGACTGTATTATCGCCGTAAGCCTTCAGATCCCATTCCTCTATAAGGCAATGTTATTGTCTAAGGATATTGTTGCTTTTAAGTTTCACGTGCTTTCCTTTTTGCTTTTGAAGACCTTTTTTTAATTAAAACGAACAAAAAGGCCTGTATTCGCACTAAGGGGACGTTTGATGGCTTGTAACTGGAATGGTTACAACTCTAGTTGCATGCAATTGCGTCAAATTTGTCCAGTTACAAACGTTTGTTTTATTGCAACTCACAGTTGCAAAACAACCCTTCATTGCAACATATGACTTATGTCAAAAATAGTCGTAGGTCACAGTTGCAACTGACCCAAATTTACTAAAAATAAAAATCATTAATTAATATTTTTTTTAAATTCATTAAAGATTTAATATAATCTTTTAAAAATTATTATTATACTAATTTCGTTAAAATGTTTTTAAATAAATAAAGTTGTGTAAAAATATTTTTCTAAAAAATATAATTATTTGAAAAAGTATTATTATTCTCAAAAATAAAAATATTTTTTTAAAACTATTTTTTTCAAAAAATAATATTTTTTAAATATAATATTTTTCAAAAGGTATTATTTTTTAAAAATATTATATCTTAAAATATATTATTTATCCAAAACATATTATTGACTCTAAATAATATCGTTTTTAAATAATATATTCTTTAATGTTATAATGTTTTAATGTAATATATTATTTTTGAAAATAATATATTAATTTTTAAATAATTTACAATTTTTTAAAATAATATATTACTTTTAAAAATAATATATTTAAAGCAATACATTGTTTTAAAAAATAATATATTATTCTTAAAAATACATATAATTTTTTCAAATAATATATCATTTTTAAAATATGATATTATTTGTATAAAATATTATTTTCATAAAAAAATAATATGTCTTAAAAAACTATTTTTTGAAGAAATATTATTTTTATAAAATATTGTAAAACTAATTTAAATAATATATTATTTTTTGGAAAATAAATTGAAAAGTTTTTTCTAAAAAATAAGTTTTTCCTTGAAAACTATTATACTTTGTTAAAATATTATTTTTTTAAAATTTCAATAATATATTTTCAAAAAATATTTTATTTCGCATGAACAAAAATTCTTTTGAATGAAATTCATTTACAAAATTATATTTTTACCAAAAAATAGTGTTTTGCAAAATTATTTTATTTTAAAAATATATATTTTTTAAATAAAATATTATTTTAAATATATTATCTTACAAAAACTTTTGAAAATTTTAAAAGTCAATTTACTTAATAATAACAACCATTATTTTTAAAATAATAAATATTGTGAAAATGTGAAAAGAATTAATAACTTTAACAATTTATTAATGGTAAAAAAAAGGTTGCATATGTAAAGTTACAAGCAAAATCAAACAGCTGTAATTGTAAGTTGCAATAATTTTCGAACTAAACAATTACAATTGTAATTGCATGCAAAAAGAGTTGCAACATCTCAGTTGCATGCAACATCTCAGTTGCATGCAACTGACACTTTCATTACAACTATAGTCGCAAGCAACGAAACGCCCCCTAAAAGTTTTTCATATGGAACTTTTGTAACTAGCCAATAGTTAGGGCTACAATACATCTCCGACAAATATTTATGGCCTTTGATCAAACTACAATACATCTCCGGCAAATATTTATGGCCTTTGATCAAAGAAGATAAGGGAAAAAGAAATTAGAAAGGGATACACTCTATTGATAACATTGCGTTAATAGGTCAAAGAAAATACTATAAATATTACAATTTACTAATCCAAATGTTGACATGTCCATAGCCTTTTGCATGCAATAGAGAAATATTGTTCGCTTGCTCAACTTGCGCATACCTCTAATTTATTCCAAACGGTAATTAACATGCATATCGTTAGCTTAGACCAGCGTGGGAAAGAAAGTTAATAAGGATAAAGACAATTGTCTACCGTGTAAAACAAAGACGTGCAAGTGGGAAAATTCGACCACATACACCTTCTATAATAACTCAATGGGTGACAAAGAATACAAAGCTTATCTCATGCCTCTTGTGATTTTGGCTAAAAAAAGGATACAGCAGCCCAAAGCAACTTTTTCTTCCTTCCACAATGCATGAATGCAGAACAAATACACTCCCAAACGAAAGATTATGTCACTTTCAACAGGCAGAGACATTGCAAATTCTAACAATTTGCAGAAGAGCTTGATCATTGACATTTTCATTATTTTGATGAGACGTCGGCTCTGTTCATTTGATCCCTATTGATGAATATCTTAGGCAAACAGGAAAGGTTATCTAATAGACCATATTCTCCCACAAATTTTCTTTTTATATTCAACAGACTATATTCCCCAGGCAAATTTTCCAAATCTTTCTGTTTGGTTTTGTTTGGTTTTATATTCAGCATACTATATTCCCCGAACAAATTCCCCAAATATCTCCGTCCTGTATTGATCTAAGGAAAGACAAGTCTTTACACCATTAACTATCATGGATAGTTCTCATCAAGAGAAGGATGTATAATAACATACCATAATGCCATAGGCTAATCATTTGAAGGAGATTGCTCTATTTCCTTCTCGCAGAAGAGCGTTCTCGAAGAAAGATCTACTATAGTCTCCATGCCAAGTTTTCAACAAGAAAAGGCTTAATGCTATTTGATATGCGCAGTCTGCTTGTCTACCTAAATCATTTGCAAAGAAGATCGAGAGCACGGACAAAGGAAAGCAGAAAGCAAGCAACAAAAGGCCCACATGCATATAAGCTCATATATATTACTACTTAGTACTACTCCATTATTATTCCCAAAAGTTGAAGAGAAAGAGGACAAAAACAAGCTCAAAAGAAGAGAGAAGGTTCTGGCTTCCAATCCCAAAAGCCCACCAACAAACAAAAAGTTGCAAAACCAAACAAAACACCCTCAAGGTCCCATCCTTNCACCAACCAAAACAAATCCCAAAAACTAAAAAAACTCCATCTAACTTAACCAAATTACATCAATGTATCCTCTCTTATAGATTCCCATTGCACAGCTTCTTCAATCCCTTGACCCCTTCTTTTGGGCTCTCTAATGCCCTCTTCTCTTGCTCTTCTTCTTCCTCCAACTCTCCCGCAATTCTCTCCTTCATCCCCTCTTCTCCTCCGACTACATTCTTGTTCTCCTTCTTCTTCTTCTTCCCCTCTAATCCCCCTTTCAAAACCCCCAACAATTCTCTCACCGCTCTCTCCTTCTCATGCCTCCTATTCTTGATCAAGACTTCACTAATATCCGCCGGCGTCATCTCAGCATCATCAATCACCTCCTCCAATTCCTTCATCATCCCCTCCTCAACGTCTCCATCCTCCAACCCCAAATAATTCTTCAACAAAATCTTCAACGCTGAGAACGAGCAATAGCTCATGAATATGTGCATGTCCATCCTCCCTGACCTGAGCAATGCCGGGTCAAGTTTCTCAATGTGGTTCGTCGTGAACACAAATATCCTCTCGCTCCCACAACACGACCACAATCCATCGGTAAAATTCAACAAACCGGAGAGAGTAATAGACTTAGTACCCGAGCTCGATTCCTCACCAGACCCCATTGGATCACTAGACGACAGCCCATGGTTCTTGCCCCCGGTGCCGGAGATCCTATTAGTAAGATTAATCGAACAGTCAATGTCCTCAATGACAATGATAGACTTCGAAGTAGTCTTCATCAAAAGCTTTCTGAGCTCGGAGTTGGTATGAACCTCAGTAAGCTCAAGATCATAAATATCGTATCTCAAGAAATTAGCCATGGCAGCTATCATACTCGACTTTCCGGTGCCCGGAGGGCCATAAAGAAGATAACCCCTCTTCCAAGCTCTACCGGTCCTCTCATAAAAAGCTTTCCCCTCCGCAAAATCCCTCAAATCCTCCATTATCTCCTCCTTCCTCAAAGGATCCATAGCCAATGTGTCAAATGTGCTCGGATGCTTAAAAGGAACAGACTCCCAAGGGTGGCCCCTCGTATCCATAGCTCCGCCGCGAGAATTCGTATACAGAAGCCTATCTTGATTCTTTCTTCGAATATCCGCGGCTCTCTCCATAATGTGATCGAGATAGGTCTCGAGAATGAGAGGCTTGTCCTTCTTCTTGATTTTGAGGGTGAAGCCCCGCTTCTCTTCGGGCAGTGGGCGCCATGAGAATGTTTGGGACTGCCGCTGAGTGACGACGTGCTCCCAAATGGCGGTTGCGCCTTTGAACGTGTCGATAAGGCGATCGTTGTTGGAGAGGCCGAAGGTGAAGACGGAGGAATTGAGGGCACGGGTGAGAGAGAGGCGGGAACCAGCAACGGAGGCGGAGGAGCTGAGGTAGAGCTGAACAGCGTTGTAGAGCTCGTTGGTGTTAACTCCGTCGATCTCGGTGATGTCAAAGTAGCAGTAAGTGGAGAAAGAGCGAAAGAGACGGTTGAAGAGCTTCGCGGTTGCGAAGCGGAGATCGGGAGGGAAGACGGCGTGGAGGAGGCTTTGACAGAAGGCGAAAACGCCCATTAGAGAAGCTAGTGATGTCCAAAACTCCTTCATGGTCGGTGAAGTTTATAGAGAATTTTTGAGGTAAGTGGAGGAGGGATGGGGTTTCTTGATTTATTATAGAGGGTGATCAACTTGGACAGAGATTTTGAATGATGGGTTCAAAGATTTTGGTGGAAAAAGACAAGAGATGAGTTGGAGATTTGCAGGCCCGTACGTGTAAGTAATAAGCAACAAACGATCAGCGAAATTTGAAATGATGAACTCTTTCACCAAAATAGGTAGGGAGGAAATAGAGCTTGAGGTGAGCGATGCAGGGAGGAGTTTGACAGCGATGTGTGCATGTGAGCTTCTGAAGAGAGATGCACAGCAAAAATACACTGAACAATTGAAGACAGGGGAATATCAGCATGCAGCAGAGAAAGCAGAAGCTATGCTCTGTTTTTTTCTCACCTCGGCCTCAGTTCCCCGGATTCCTCTACCTTTGATTCTAATGAGACCTTTGGGCCCTAAATAGAGCGTGAGAGAGAGAGAAGAGAGAGAGAGAGAGAAGAGAGAGAGAGAGAGAGTTAATTCAAAGATTGAGTAAATCTTTTGATTGCTCTTCAGCCTTCACTGCCCTTTGCGGCTTCGCCCTTCATTGGTCTCTGCCTCTCCCTCTCTCACGTTTATTGCTCTTCAGCCTTCACTGCCCTTTGCGGCTTCGCCCTTCATTGGTCTTGAGGCAGAGAAATTTGTTGGGGATGTTTAAGGGGGCCCCTTCTATTAATATTACAGATGTCAAATGAGATTTGTGTGTTCCCTCTCCATGCACTAGGGTCGCAGATGGATGACTTCTGTCTCCATTTGCTCTAAACTCCGTCTACAGAAATTATTTCTTTACAATTTAATTTAACCACAGATCTGATAGCCCATGATTTCATGATTATTTTTTATTTTAATGTATTAAACAAAGATAGTTGTTGACGTTAGTCTTAATCAGTAAGAGAGAGAAAGAGGACAGGTGTCAGATCTTCGTATAACAGCCGTTAGCATAAGACTAAAAAATCAATTAAAGTAATGATGTTTAGTGATCCAATGGATAAGGCAGCTCAAATCTTAGACTGCACATATACAGTGTGTATTCAAACCAAGTGCAGGGATCTCCCTATTCCTCTTTCTTTACTTCTGCATTGTTGGGTTCCAGACAGTATTTATCAAAATAATAATAATATTATTAAATTTTCTAATAAGTTGATCAAAAAGAATATCAAGGCTAATAAATACATATCTTAGCTGTCGTCAATGAGGCTTTCAAATCAAGCAAAGGAGCTAAGATCATCTCCATCATCTCTCCCATCCAATCCAAGGCTCTCCATCCAATGCGGCAACGCCTCTATAGGTTCTGAGTCTATCCATATCATCAGGATCTTTGTGGGGCTCTTTTCCTGACTCCACTCATCATTGTCCCCATGCAAAGCAAACCCCCATGCAAGAACAAGCAAAGCAAGTAAACCTCAGTCCACAAGTAAACTCCGCACAGAGACAGAGAGAGAGAGAGAGAGAGTATTTTGGCGCAGAAGGTAGGTAGAATAATAAACGCTTCTAACAACAAGGGGCAGTGCTCCATCCCAGCAGCGTACTTAAAAGTTTAATGGGGGCTCAAGAATCGAGGATGGAACTATGGAAGGCATTTAAAAAGGAACCTACCTCCAAAAATCAACTAATCCCATCTCTAAGTAGGACTTGCATTGACTCAGTTCCCAAAGTTTTTGGAGCCCATCAGAAAACAAAAGGAGTGAAACTAAGAATTGGCTGCTTGGGGACTGATACAATAATGCCTATATCCCTCCTCCCTACAATATTTAATGTCTCTGCTACCCATTGGATCATGCACTTAACTGCCTCATTAAAAATAATTATGTGCAGATCAACTTTAAGCGACTTGACTCAAGAAAAAGAAAATCTAATCTCTGATCATGCACGTACTCCCAGTTCCTACTTTAGTGATTTCTCACAAAAGAGAGAATCGAATCTACTGAGAAAAGAGTGGAAAGGTCCGAGAACTGACTACTAAAATACAAAGTACCGCCCAAACCAAAAAAACACAAGTAAAATACAAAGCTAGAAAGGCTCTAAACCTCACATGTGTTCTGAAAGCTTCTGAGATTTTAAGGCATATATTCCTTTTCTTGTTTTAAAAACAACATATGTGATTCTTCACCACCCTGTAGTTACTGCATACTGCCAAAATATCCAGCAGGCAGGATTACAACCGTCCAAACTCTACAAGCGCATACTATGTGTCTTAGGTTTTTAGACTTTGGACTACTAAGAACCACCCACATGTACTGGCTCGGTATATATACATCCACATAAACAAAGATTATCAGCAACTCTATAGTTGATTCCAGCTGAGAACCAATCTTACTCAAGCTAAGCTCCTCCACCCATAAGAAAGCGGAAATAAGCAAGTACATTGTAAAACTGGTGTCAATTTCTTAGATTTTAGACACCAATAACTTAATCTAAATGATGTTACCTGTAGCGGAAAACAATTGACATCGTGCAGTCACCAAGATTCTAATTCAAGAGCCAATTTGTTTACCGTGTTCGAATCTTGATAATTCCATCAAATGATCAATTTAAATCGCAAATGGCATCTCAACTGGCCAACAGACTCCAAAGACCAATATGGCTAGAAGATTTTAACATCTGTTACCCTTATTTCAGGACTCGGTGAACCTTCCACTCTCTTTATGCACATACACCAAACAATGTTAGAGATGAAAGAACTTCTTATGTGGCAAGGAAACTAATAGCAAAGCAAGTAAGAAAATATTTGATGATACAACATTAACGTGCATCCACAACAAATTCAAAAATACTACAGTAAAATTTGGAAACATGTGTGCATATAAGAAGGAAAATGACACACATGAGATGTCAATGTGGTAAAAGCTAGAATCCAGGACATGATATGGCAAGAGAAGGAGAACCAATAAAATATTTTCACTATGTATTTTGCCACGTAATATTTCACCTTCATTGTGGTACACAGTTGCTTAGTATCTCTCATCTTTTCTACAAAAATCTTAGATTATTAAACGTTAGTACAAGCTACTATTCTCATATTCTGTTATTCAATAATGTGATCAACAAGAATTGAAGAGGTGTATTGTTTTGGTGTTCCCATTTTCGCCAAAGTGCAATTCATTACCAAACACTGGACAGGTGTATTTCCACATACAGCGCCCCAATCAACTGGGCGGCCTAGGCCTAGCAAGGATTCTGACTTAGCCGACTCGTCGATTCGATATTCCTTCATGTCGACTCGAAAGGCGGTACTAGACTAATAGTCGACCTTCTTACCAAAGACAACTCGCCAGGAGTCCACCCGACCATTTGTTCAAAAACCTCGCGAGGACGACTCGAAATACGTTACTTCTCAGCGAATTTAAAGGACTATTTTCGTCACGAGCTTCTCTATCTGGTAACGTGTCAACATCGCATTTAATGCATGGCAGGTGCTATTATGACTCTAACCCCAATAGTCTTCATGACTCATCGGACCACGTGTGGCATCGCCCTGCCACCACTCACTTCTCATTTAATGTTGAAGTAATCTGCCCCCAGTCACCGGCCGAAACCTGCAAAACAAATACTAACACAGCCGCCAGCCCATACTTCGCACCGCCTCTCAGTGCTCGACCGAAGTGACCAATCTACCCTTACAACTTTAGTATAAATACATGTACTATCTCAACTTGGGTTGGGTCCCTAATTCTGGATTCTAATCCAAATTTTCTAATTTTGCAGATCATACTACACAGACAAGAACTCTTACAGTTCTTATTGAACCCCACTCAAGTTCATCAGCGAACTTAATCGTCGGAGGTACTACAAGGAAGCCAAACCCCGTCCTCTCACGAATTTCTACACGTGCGGATTTTTAAGATACCCGGCTCAAGAACCAGATATAAAGTCAGGGAGAAAGCGGCCCCCTCATCGATCCTCAACAAACTCATCCAAACACAAATATATATTGACCGTGTGATCACTTAACATCAACAGTTTGGTGCCCACTGTGGGGAAGCTTTCTTTTTTGAGAAAACATGTCAGGTTCTGAACAAGGGTCCGATCAGTCGCACCTTGTAGAACAACGTCCGATCAGCCTCACTATGTAGAACAACACTAGAGCTATGTTACCAGAGCCCAGCTCGAGGAAACAGCTCATAAGCTCTCTCAGTCTTTCAAAGAGCAATTCGTTGTCTTTACAAGCGAACTTCTCAGCCAGCTTTCATAGCCGTAGCGAGGTACCTCAGTTCTCCTCCCCCGACTCACGTTGGCGAGCCTCACCGACATCACTGTTGTCCTCAGGAGGCCACTGGCGAGAGTCCTGGCCCAGGTCACCTCGGGGACCACACCAAGGGAGTGGTCTCTAAGACTCTCCTCCATCACCGTGCTTCTCCAAACCCCTTTGCTACCATAGGGGCCTCTGGATACGACCGGACATACAGATCGGTCACTGATGCCATCGGGGGTAATACCCCTCTCTCAGATGACATTATGAATGCCCCAAATATTATGAATGCCCCATGTGATAAGTTCAAGATGCCTCACGTGGAGAAGTATGAAGGCGAGGGAAATCCCTTCGAGCATGTTCAGAACTACTATGATGTGATAAACATGCTCCAAGCATCGAAAGTCATCATCTGTTGATGCTTTCTCATCACTCTTTCAGGGAGTACCAAACTCTGGTGGAATTCTCTTGAGAAGAAGTCCATTAGTAATTTTCAACAACTCAGCCGGAAGTTCATCCACCACTTCCTGGTTGATACTAAACATAAATTGCCTCATTCATGCGTTAATTTAGATGAGGCAGGAACCCGAAGAGAGCCTTCGAGCCTATTTCAAAAGGTTTTAAGCGAAGAGGCTGGAAGTCAATGAACCAGGGAGCGTAGTCGTCATGTCTGCAGTCATGACCGGCTTGCAAAGCAATGAGTTGGCCAACTCGCTTGCCAAGAAGCATGTCGACAACTATGAGCAATTGATGACCAAAGCTCACGGGTATATGGACATGGAGGATGCCCGTGCCTACAAGGCGTCGACCAGGGTCGCAGCTACAACTTAAACAGCACCAACTATCCCAACCACCCCGTCGACTTCAGCAATAGTCTCGGTGATGGCACCAACACCAGAGTCGGCCAAAAGTCCTATTGTAAGACAGGAGTGGCCAAGAGACCCTTCGAGAGTCGACTTCTGTTCCAATCAGTCCAACAGGAAGGACTTACAGAGGGACCAGCCGCCAAGATCAGCCCTCACAGTCCTCAACACTTCCCTCGCATCAGCTCTTACCATGGTTCGGAAGGAGGGTCACCTCAAGGAGCCTGCTCCTAAGATAACGTCAAATCCTAAGAACCGCAACATGAGGCAGTTTTGTCGCTACCACAAGAACCACAACCATCTTACCTATGATTGGTGTATCCTTAAGAGGGATATTGAGGACCTAATTGAGAGGGGGTACCTAAAGAACCTTGTCTCTCGACGGGATCGTAGGGAAGCTGAGCCAACCAAGCAGGGTAGAAGATCCCGCTCGTGATCACCTCGTCCTCGACCGCGTCAAGATAGCCGACCCCCGGAGCCTAGTTACAAGGGGGTCATCAACATGATCAGTGGCAATCCCATTGCTGGATGGTCGTCCAACAATTCCCAGAAGAGATGTGCTAAGAGCGAATGGCGGGTCGACCAAGCTGACAAGAGGACGAAGGCAGAAGAGCCCATATCTTTTAGGGATGCCGATCTGCAAGGCGTTGAGACGCCTCATGACGACACATCATCATAGCCGCATCAATTGATGACTATCAGCTGAAGCGAATTATGGTCGACACAGGGAGCTCAGTAGACGTCCTGTATGTCGACACCTTCAACCAGATGGGCATCGACAAATCTCGTCTACTCCCTTATAGAGGTCCCCTTATCGGATTCAC